AAGAACATATGGGTCACTTGAGGGTTGTGTTGCAAAGATTGAGACATGAGAAGTTGTATGCCAAGTATGAAAAGTGTGAATTTTGGTTGAGGGAGGTTGCCTTCCTAGGTCATGTGGTGTCGGGGGATGGTATTAAGGTAGATCGTAAGAAGACCGATGTGATTAGAAATTGGCCTAGGCCATTGACCCCGTCGGATATTAGGAGCTTCTTGGGCTTAGCGGGTTACTACCGGAGATTTGTGAATGGGTTTTCTTCTATTGCTTCTCCCATGACTAAGTTGACACAAAAGAAGGCTAAGTTTGAGTGGATTGACTATTGGTATGAAGAAGGACATTGCCAAATTCGTCTCCGGTTGTCATAGTTGTTAACAAGTCAAGGCCGAACATCAATAGAAGAAAACCCATTCACAAATCTCCGGTAGTAACCCGCTAAGCCCAAGAAGCTCCTAATATCCGACGGGGTCAATGGCCTAGGCCAATTTCTAATCACATCGGTCTTCTTAGGGTCTACCTTAATACCATCCCCCGACACCACATGACCTAGGAAGGCAACCTCCCTCAACCAAAATTCACACTTTTCATACTTGGCATACAACTTCTCCTCTCTCAATCTTTGCAACACAACCCTCAAGTGACCCATATGTTCTTCCTCGCTATGCGAATAGATTAAAATATCATCAATAAAGACCACAACAAAGGAATCAAGGTAGGGTTTAAAGACCCTATTCATTAGGTCCATGAAGATAGCCGGTGAATTGGTTAACCCAAAGGACATGACCACAAATTCATAATGCTCATACCTAGTCCGGAAGGCTGTCTTGGGAATGTCACACTCCCTCACCTTCACTTGATGATACAATATTTTTTAAACTTGTTTTAAGACTTGAGCATTGAGTTGAGTAAGAGTAAGAGCAAAGTTCATTTCTTCAAAAGATTATATGTGAACTAAGTATTCGCAAGAGTAAAATATTTTCACATTTAAACAAGAGAGGAAACACCCATTTCCAAGAGAGCTTTTAAGCTAGTTTTTGAGTAATAAACTCAAACCACAGAAAGAGTTATGTTTTCAAATATTTGAGCTGCGTATATTTTGGGAGTAGTATTTAAGCACCGATATGGGGACGAGTTCAAAATAACTTAAGTCCCCATAAACCATGTAGCCATCGTGGGTAGAAAGGGTCATACTTTTTAGATAATTCCTTAATACTTTTTGCATAGACTAGTGGATCCACTTAGTTGAGAGGTTCTATACCTCAGTTAATTAAGGACAGTTCTGGAAGTGTGGGCGAGCCGCTGTATGATCGCATAGCTCATAGTGTCGGTTGCCGGTTAGAGAATCTCCCACAAAATTATATTATATTTTATTATATATAAATTGAGTTGTTATTGTATTCTTCTATACACTGAGTTGTTTTCTACTGTTTTATAAGCTTTCCATATATTGCATATGTATTGTTGCTTTATATTGAGTTGAGTATCCAAAATTGAGTATCCATAGTTGAGTATCTAGAGTCGAGTATCTTATTATTGAGTTGAGCCTTATTTCACTGAGTTGAATATCTTATCATTGAGTTGAGCCTTGTTTCACTGAGTTGAGAACCTTATTACTGAGTTGAGTATCTTATCCTTGAGTACTTCTGAGTTGAGTAAGTTTTAGTTGTTTTGAGTATCCTTGAGTATCATATCTTGGAGTTGAGTATCTCATTCTAGAGTTGAGTATCTCATTCTAGAGTTGAGTTTAGTTGAGTGAGTTGGAATGAGGTAAATATGTTTCCTTTATCAAGTTCAAGCTTATGTTTATGCTTTAGAATTCCCTTTACATGCTTGTACATTCCACGTACAGAGCCATTTGGCCTGCATCGTTTCATGATTCAGATACAAGTATTTAGGGTTATCAACAGGAGCTTCGTTGATATCACATGGAGTTTGAGTTAGCTATGGTGAGCCTCCTTGCTTCCAGAGGATTTCATTTACTTCTCAGTTTTGTCATGATGTCGTGGGTCTTGTCCCGACTTCCATCTTTATCATTTAGAAGCTTCATAGATAGACAGTAGAGTTTGAGAAGTCTGTTTCATTTATCTTGTTTAAATGTTTTAAAGACTTGAGTTGCCTAGTTTTGTCTAGTTGAATATACGATTATATTCTGAGTTAATTATATGAGTTTCAATGAATTTTATTCTGTTTTAAGCTTTTGTATGCTTGATTTAGTCTTCCGCTTGTAGTCAGCCAGGATGAGGGTGTGGTTAGGGACCAGAAATGGTTCTCGAGTGCCGGCCACGTCCAGGGTGTAGGCTCGAGTCGTGACATAACACACAGAGACATAATCAATTTTGTTTTGTAAGATATGTATGTAGAAAAAAGGAAGAATTTCATTTTTTTAAAAGGAGAGAAAGTCTCTCTGTTTATAGCCAACAACAGGTAGTATGAAAAAGTGTTAATTATGCCTTATCAAATAGGTCACAACTCTTTGGAAAAGGGACAAACTTTTAGAAACGTCACAACCCTTTGAAAAAGGCACAACCATTCAAACAATCACAACCCTTTTCTACACAACCCTTTGTAAATGTCACAATCCTTTGACAAAGTCACAACCCTTGAGGAGAGTGACAACCCTTCATTTCCTATTCACACTTTTAAAACCCAATGGTGGCAATATAAGCTCATGATATCAAAATCGATCCAATTCATTTAAATTTGTGCTAATTATTGACATGCTCATTATAATTCAAACCTGTTCAATTCAAATTGATCCATAAGTAAATTTGTCAAAATAATTTTTAAAAGATATAATTAGATACTAAAAGATTATAAAAGTATGAATAAAGCAATTAAAATTTAGTACAAGTAAGACATGTTAGATTATGATCTTATATTTTAGATAACTCATTTTAGTCCAAGTATATTTTGACGGGCTAATAACTCATCCATTTACTAACTCAACTCATTTTGACCTTCTCAAATTCTTCTCAACCCACTCATATGTCACCTCTAGACTAATAGTTGATTGGGTCACTAAAGCTTAAAATTAACTAGAGGAATCTAAAAGTCTACATTGAAATCAAGTATCATTTGAAAATAATTTTTTTATCAAAACAATATTTACATCAAGGTTATAGTCTTGAAAATATATGAGTTGTCTTACTTCTAAACTAGGGAGAGACGTGATTGATACCCAACTTGTAATAACCTGTTGAGTGAGTCATTTTTCAACTGACGGTATAATACTGCTAGCATTAAAATATCAATAAAATTGAGTCTTTATTAAATAATATCTAATGGATTAAACTTAAGAACTAAGGAAATAAACTTTTGAAAAATTGTCATGATCCAAATATTGGGTCATGCGGCATCTATTCTAATACCTAGATAGAAGAATGTCACGACCCAAGCCTAGGGCCTAGACGTGACCGGCAAATGGGGAACCCGAAGGAACCCCAAACAAGCCTAATAGCGTATCATTACACATCCTTGGTCGCGGAAGCAATTAAAATGACCATAAGCGATAAGCATAATCAAGGGGGAAATCCGGACTAAGGGAGCAAGAGAAACAAAAAAAAGGAATGATACATAAATACCATAGATGAGTCAAGCTCAAGTATAATACACAACTT